GGGGGGGGGGGGGGGGGGGGGGGGGGGGGGGGGAGGGTCCTAGAAACCATTCAACCCCTCGTTGCAATAAACTGCGTGACAGATGATCAGAGAGCAAGGCTAAAACCACCAGTACATGGCCCCAGGCAACTGGAGAACCTTTTTTTTATTTTATTTTTACCATTTCTCGATTTATGCGTGTCATCCTTGCGCAGGGGCCATGCTAATCTTCTCTGTATCGTTCCAATTATAACAGATGTCCCGAAGGACAGCAACTGGAGAACCTGTTTTGAGCCTCTCCGCAACTGGAGAACCTGTTTTGAGCATCTCCAAAAAAATTTAGGAGGCCGAGCGCCGTAGATAAAATAAAATGAATCGGCGGCGGGCAGGCTCCAAAAGGGGCCAGCGGCCGATAGCTGGCATGTACTGGTGCTTAAAGCCCTACGGTGGCACTCACTGACGGTGACGAAAGACCCAAAGGTGCGGTCCTGCATGAGTATCTAGATGGAGTAAAACAAGCCTTTAACCCACCAGTACTTTTCCCAGCCATTTTGTTCCGCCGCGGCTGTTAATGCGCTGCATCTTTTTGGCCTCGGCCTACTGGATTGAAATGTCTGGCTGAGCCAGGCAAAAGAAAAGGAAACACTCCTGCTGCGGTTTCGCTTTTTTATTGCTACGCAGTGCTATGCATTGAACAGCAGAAATCCGCATCAGGAAAAAGAGGCCTTTGAGGTATAAGGACCTGATCTGCTGTCACTTGTGTTAAATTCCATGAGCAGATTTGGTCAAATGCCCCCAGTTCTGTACAACAAAACAAATGTTTTTTTGCCCCTTTCTTCTTTTTTTTCTTTTGACAATCTGTGCATTGTTTCAAGTGACACCTGACTGCCGTTTGCTTCTGTAAGGTCAGGAACTGATGAGATAGACGTGTATATGTATGCCATGTTCTTGCAAACCAGGTCAAAATGCGAGCAAAAGCGAAAGCTTGTTCTTACCGACAGGTTCGTGCAATCCATTCCACGTCTCCTTTTTGCTTTTTTGTTTGTAAACCGCTGGTTGCCGCTGTTTGTGTGCAGGCTTTAGGGTTTAGGGTTTTGTGCAGTCTGTTCCGTTAAGCTTTAGGGTTTAGGGTCTAGGTTTCAGGGTTTTGGGCATGTGTCCGCTTGTAATTAACCTATGGGGTTTGTGCATTAATTTGCCTAGGGTTTAGGGTTAAGGCTTGCGTCTGGTGGGGTTTTGCATGTGCGTATCCGCTTGTAGTCTGGTGTTTTTTTTTGCACGTGTCTTCTTGTAGTTAACCTGTGTTTGGGTTTAGGAGGGTTTAGGAGGGGTTTAGGTGGGTTTAGGAAGGTTTAGAAGGGTTTTAGGAGGGGGGTTACGAGGGGGGTTACGAGGGTTTACGAGGGGCTTACGAGGGGTTTACGAGGGGTTCAGGAGGGTTCAGGGTTTTTGAACTTTTTCGCAGGCTTTATGCCAACCTGCGTAGAATGCACCAAGTAGTGACAATAATTCCTTCGTACATTCTAGCTCTACGGAGCCTCTACCTAGGACATCAAACCAACCTTCTAACATTGGGTGGCTGGCAGTGCCAGCAACTATACCCTCCCCCCCCCACCCACCCACATCAAACCATGTACTTATGTTTCCACAGTTCACCAACCATTCACCTAATCTGTACATCACCCGCCAACCTCTGTCACACAATTATCCTTCACAGACCTGAACACCAACTTTTTTTACTTTTTTTTTTTTTTTTTTTTCGAGTTCATTTAGCACAAGCTTGCATTGTTGGCTGGGTACCCTAGACACCAACCTTTTCATTTTTTATTTTTTTTTAACCCTAAATCCAAAACCCTAAACCCTAAACTTGACGCTGTGTTCAGTCTCCAGGGTTTAGGGTTCTCGCATAGCAGAAATAGGATAAACAGCAACATCGATTTTGCCGGAATTTGTCCCCTCCGTTTCCTTTGCTGAACTGCACTGTGCGTTTTTTTTTTTTTGGGGGGGGGGGGGGGGGRGGAAGGAGGGGGGTCTGCACGTTGTTTGTTTGTTTGTTTGTTTGTTTGTTTGTTTGTTTGTTTGTTTGCTTGTTTTCTTGTTTGTTTGTTTTATGTTGACCGGTTTTCAGCCTTTTCAGCATGGATGGAGATTTTGCTCTTCTCCGCCAGCTTGTGGAGTTAAAACGGAAGCACGGTTTCCTCCTTGTCATCGATGAGGTAGTGTAAATCAACGTTATCTCTCCTTGCTGATATTTTCCTTCGTTTCTCTGCGCATTGCTCACTCTGTTTCGTTATCCATCCATCCTACCCATTCGATTCATCCACTCCCTCCCTCCTTTCCTCCCTACCTACCTCCATCTCTCTACTACCTCCCTCCCTTCCTCCCTTCCACCCTCACTACTTCCATCCGTCCATCCGTCCTCCATCGCTCTGCCCATCCGTCCATCCGTACATCTCTTCCTCCCTCCCTCCCTCCCTCCCTTCGTCCATCCGTCCATCCGTCCATCCGTCAGTCCACCCATCCATGCATCCATCCATCCGTCCATCTCTCTCTCTCTCTCTCTCTCTCTCTCTCTCTCTCTCTCTCTCTCTCTCTCTCTCTCTCTCCATCTCTCTCTCTCTCTGTGTGTCTGTTTCTTTCTGTCTCTCTCTCTCTGTCTCCTGTGTGTGTGTGTGTGTGTGTGTGTGTGGCACTTGTGCATCCCCCAACACTGGCACTCTTGATCACACCGGCAGCTCATGAGGCCAACTTATATTGCGTCGACCAGTCTACCCTGCGCCCTCGTGCTCCCTCGATGGAGTGCTGAAATTCATTGTCCTGGTGGCTGAGATGCAGCCACAGTCAGAGGCTGCTTAGATAGTAGGCCCTGGATGCTTTGGGAAACTACATCTGAGCCGTAGGATTTGGGTGTGATCGGTGGCTGTGGTTGGCTTTCTGGAGAGATGTCGGGTCTAGCAGTGCTGCCTGGGTAGGGACGGACTGTTGACTTTTCTTGGCCCGCTTTTACTTTTTCAGGCCCCGGATTCTCAGTCTGGTTGCTGTCCCTCAGTCCTACCCACTGTACGAATTCTCCACATGCCCTATTGACCCTACAGTATGACTTTTGACCCCATAATTCTGACTGGGCCTAGAGGTTTGACTTTTGACGCCAGAAACTTTGACTGGGCTCAGAGGTTTGACCCAAAGATAATTGTATTGCTGGTTTTTACAGTGGATCTCAATGGGATATTACTTTCCTCTTTGCTGTCTTACGCCACTTTTAAATTAGCTGCAATCATTGTGCCATGTGCTTTTTTTTTTTTTTTTTTTTTTGGAAGAATTATGCTTATATATTAACAATTGCAAAAGGAGGCCGGGAATCCCTCCACATCACAACCCGGTCTTTTTTTTTTTTTTTTGGACCATTTCTCGATTTACATGTGTCATCCTTGCGCAGGGGGTCCATTTTGATCAACCTGACTGGTTACTTAGACTCAACGTAGGCTGCAGGAAGGGAATAGGGTAGCTATAAAGGAGGCACGGCGAGGGGATGGCCTCGGCATTGATGAGTTCGATCTTGTTTCAGTTGGGAGTGTTGTCCTCCTGAAGAGTCTACTGGCGGGGTAGACGAAACACGTCAAGGGTTGGCCGCGAGATTGTGGGTTAATTCCGTGTATCTTATCTTAGATTGGTTTTCTTGCTGAAGTTCAAATTTGATTTCTTTTGTCTTTGCATCTGTTAACGGAGCGTTTGGCTTGGTGTGTCTTCCTTTCTCCGTTCTCATGTGAAAGCTGTCTCGCCGGACAGTTCTCTCTCTCACTCTCTCTCTCTCTCTCTCTCTCTCTCTCTCTCTCTCTCTCTCTCTCTCTCTCTCTCTCTCTCTCTCTCTCTCTCT